CAGTAAACTTCTCCTTCATGGGAGAAGGGAGGTGAAGGAAAGGGGATGAAAAAATTTGAGATATTACAAACATGTGCCACCCCCAGAAAAAATGCAATCATTATGTTTGGCAAACATGTACTAATAAAAAATAAAAACAAAAAAATACTATGATTTGTATTGTCAAGGCTTCTGGCTATGCTATTGAAGGTGCTGCTTTGATGAATGGAAACACTCAAGGCAGCCAAGACTGGAGGGATCAGGTAATGGATGTCCAATTCTGCAGGGTGCCACAGTGTTAACAGTTCCGTCCCTAACTAGTTAAAGGTCAGCCTTATGAAAAATGACTTTCCGTTTCCAGCCTATAATGAACATAACATCATGCAAAGATAGATGAGATGGTGCTTTTTGTAATGCTTGGTGAAATTGGAAAAACAGAACGACTCGTTTCTCTCCTCCAAAAAATACTATGATTTTAAGTCTATTACTCCAAGGAGGGCAGTTTACTTTTTCCATATGTTGGATATTTGGACTAATGCTGCCAGACTCCAATTTCACATTTATCCAATTTAAACTCAACTCAATTTTTAGGGCAAACAAAAACATTAAAGCATGATGCTTTCATACTAATGCACCTATTGACAAAAGTGCAATCCGGAGTCTACACAGCCTATTTGGCCAAACTCATGAGAAGCCACCTCAGTTCATTCACCCTTGATGTTTCTTCCTAACATTCCAAGAACTGAATGTTTGTAGTTCTGGGTGCATTTCAATGAAGGCTGCTAAAAATTATCTTTTGTTTCCAATTCAGATCTTCCTTATAAATGGGAAGTAAAACATTGCTGGTAGGAATATAAAAGGGGCAATCAATTTGGGAAATATTCCTAGTTTTAGGAATAATTAAACAGAATCCAGTTTTCTGTTCCTAATAACCCAATACTGCAGACTAAGTTATAAGGAAAAAAGTTTATTTTGTCTCCCACTATTAGACCATAGTAAAAGAGTTGCATCTGATGATGGTCTCCTTACTGGCAGAGACTCAGGTTATGTAAGGAATAATATGCTGAGAGACAGGAAGTGCATGTGTGTGATCAAGTCTCTCTTCTTTTCCTACCTGTATTCCATCATTTTGGCCCCATGCACACAATCTTATCTAATCCTAATTGCTTACTAAGACTCCACCTCTCTATATCATTATCAAATAAATTTCATATTCTCTTAATATCAAACCATGGGGACTACATTCCAACATAATTTTTGGGACAAACTATAAATTACCATATCACCCTCAATTCCTGACTCCTAGATAAGTGCAAATTCATCTCCACGTAAATGTTTATGGCAGTAGTATTCATAACAGCCAAAACATAGATGGAATTCAAATGTTCATCAATGGACTGATGAAGATTGTTATATATATCCATGAAATGGAATATTATTCAGTCATGAAAATGAATGAAACACTGATGCATGCTGCAACATAAGTGAACCTTGGAAACACGAACTTTAGTGAATGAACTGAGAAACAGAGACAGCTATCAAATGTCTCCAATTATAAGAAATGTCAAGAATAGGAAAAAATTCTGTAGATAAGTACAGAGTTTGCTTTTTTGTACTGAGGTGAAGATGCTCAAAATTGGCTATGGTGACTGCATATATCTTTAAATGGGGGAATTACATAGTATTGTATGTGAATGGAATCTAATAAAACTGCAGAAGAGACAATGCAGTGCTATCATGAGAACTGTCTTCTAAACCCTACCCAAAGTAACTCTATCTTGGGATGCATACAACATTATCAATGTAGCTGTTCAATGGGCTCTTGGGCCCCCAGGTGCTGAGTCTTTGTGGCAGACTGCAGCAATACAAGTTCATCCATTACTGCAGCTAGACACTTCTGGCTGAGACTGGTAGGGTTTCTCATTCCTTGCCAACCTGATCTGCTCAGAGGCGACAGTCTTGCTTCCCTTTTCTATGCACACAGCTCATACTGAAAGAGCATTTAGATTCTTCTAAAGCTCAGTCTCACTGGGCTGTTAACTTTAGCCTCTGCTCTTTCAGCTCTAGTGATACTCCTTGTTCCCTGCTGTTGCTGACCTTATGAACGCCACATGGCACATGAGCTTCCTCAAACTCTATCAGTGCTGTTCTAAGTAGCTCACTCATTAATCTCTCACCACTTACAGTTTTGATGGTATGGTACAATGCCTGCCTGGACTCTGTTATAAAAGGTTATAAGTTATGATTAATACCCTGGATAAAGTTAGAGGTATGAGGAAATGTAGAGAATTTGGGCCCAATTCAGGTAGGTTTCTATGCAGTGATCATACTAGACTTTATAGTAAATGTCTAGAAACTCAAGTGGAGAGGTATCTGCAACAACTCAGCATACTATAACAAGATGGGCTGAGTGACTAAATATAGCATTCCTTCTCATAGTTCTTGAGCCTATGAAGTACAGTAGTCTGACTCCTAGTGAGGGCTATTTTCTTGGCTTGGGATATAAAAGCCTTTTCATAGGATCCTCAATTGGGGGTAAAAATCATCTCTCTGCTCTTCTGAGAGGTGCAATAATGTTTGCATGGAGGTCCACCACTCATGATCAAGAAATCAAGGATTCAAAACATGGAGAGAGGATAGGGCTATACTCAGTCCACAGCAATAAATGAAACAAATATTCACCAAGTCAACGTTTTGCCTGTGACAAGACTGAGGCTATCTCTAAAAGACAGCAAGCAAGGTAAAACAGGAAGAGAGGTACAATTTTTAGCATTACAGGAAGAAAAGGTACTATATATTTGTGTGAAGGAACAAAAACTGGTGCCAGAAACATGATAATTTAAATTATCATAATAATTATTAAAAAAAGAGACTCAAAACAAAAAATGCAGCAGGAACAAAAAGGCAAAAGAAACATTTTTATTAAGTACAGTTTCAAAGGAGTATATAAATTAGCAGGTCTCTGTATGATAAGCAGTCATGCAGAAATGAGCACAGGCAAAGTAGTAAAAAGAGTGATGCGTGAGACTTATTCTTGGAAACATCATTTAAATTAATTGAGCTTTTATACGAGGATACTCACGTTCCTTGTTCAAGCTCAGGAGACTGGAAGATGGAACTATTATAAATTATTCTGGATAACATGTGTAAGGAAATATTACCTTCACCAAACAAGCAGATGTGACCGTTACCCCTGTCATTTCTGTATGTAACAAAGGGCCTGCTTGGACAGGTTGTGTCTCTCACCGACAGTGCCCCACAGCAGGGCCATTACTCAATCGTCTTTGCTACCCAGCCAGTTCCTCACATGATGCCACCGTTCTCCCTGTGCACAACTAAGCTGTTTCACTGTTACACTGGCTCGGAAGAATTAAAATTACTTTTTGTGTTGGTGGTCACAAGATTTTCCATAAATTATTATGGAATTATTATTGTATTAATTATTATAATAATTTATTATAAATTATTATTGTATTAATTTGCCCATATTCTTACATAAACTGCAAAAGTTTGATAAAGAATATGCAATCTAGTGAAACATTATGAAATGGAAAAACAAAAACAGCGAAGTCTGCATCAACATTTAAAATTTTTAGGGGCTGGAGATTTAGCTCAGCAGCACAGCGCCTGCCCGGCAAGCTCAAGGTTGTGAGTTTGATCCCCGGTACTGCGGGGGGGAGGGGGGGAGAACATTTGAAATTTCTGAATACTCTAATGAAAGTTGGTGCTCATGAAAATGAATTAAACTAATTTAGCAACACAGGAATAACTTACCTGTTTTCTTGATGAAAAAGTCACATTTCATACTCACATACACTTATCACAAGTATGATTTTTTATTCTTTTTGACCTTGCCTTATAAAAGAAAGAAAACAAAACATGCATAAACATGAAACAGGATTCATATCTAAAACTGAGTTATGTTTCTAATTTAACAAAAATGTCATATTCACACATAATGTCTGCTAGAGATATAGTAATGTTGGAAATATTGACACCAAGTGCTGAGCACATGAGAACATGAGCCTTGCATTGTAGTGTGCTTTTGACCCTGACATCTGGTGTGCCCAGAGACACAGCACAACGTATGGATCCATTGTACTCAGAGAACCCATCACTAAGAGGTGAGTTTGGGAAAAGCCTCTGCTCTCTGTGCGTGATTTCCTTTCTCTATGGAAAGGGAGAAAAGGATCAGCTGAGATAGGAACAGCAATGTAGTCATATACTATCCATAATGTGAAAAAACATAATTACTAAGAAAAGTGTGTAGTTCCTTTGTCCTTCAATAAAATAAAACAGTTACTTTTCTCCCTTATTCCATGACAAGGAAATACTTGTGGACAGCAAAAGTTTGATAAAGAATATACAATCCAGTGAAACATTATGAAATGGAAAAACAAAAACAGAAAAATCTACAACATTTGAGATTTCTGAATACTCCAATGAAAGTTGGCGCTCATGAAAATGAATTAAACATTCATTTTAATTGGGGATTTAGAATGGATTTGGGAGTTTGTGGCTCAGTGTAATGCAGTATTTCCAGTTACCCTCACAAAAAGACAGTGGACATTCCCCACACTGATCATGTCAAATGTACCCTATTACCACAAAAGTGGGATGTTACTCAAGTGGCAAGCTGTGTTGCTCAGTTATTAACTAGATAAGCAACTTTGAAGGAAACACATTTTCTTTGATGGTTCAGTGAGGAAATTCCACTGAATTGGCTTAGAGATCTTTCCACTCACAAGAAACAAACTTGACAGGTTAGCATTGTGATAATGATTATAAATCTTTAAGAAACGGTAATTTAAAATCCTTGAAGGACATTAGACTTATCACACACACTTCTGGGCCAAAGTAATGAAATACTCCAAGCATTACTATATCACATTCAAACTTGAATTCACACATTTTATGCAAAAATAAAGAAAACAAAAAACACGGCAACAACTTTCAACTGCTGCAGAATCGTGAACTATATGTGTTATTTTTACACATAACCATGGTGGTAAATTCCAAGGAGGACAGTCTTCTCTGTGAATATTCACACCTGAGCAACTGGTGAAACAAAGTTAAGGAGTCATTGCATGTGGAAACAGAAATGATCAATGTGACAATCTTACACACTGGCTTTCCATACAAATTTACAATACATCCCAATACTCCATCACAAGTTATTGTGTATTTTCCATTACAGCTCTTATTTGCATCTTTTAAACATATATTTTACCATTTCTTCAACTATATGGAGTTTCTCACAAAACCACAGACACTAGCATTTCAAGAATTTGTTTTCTCATCCCTCTATATTCATCACAAACTGCTTGGATTACCCGTGTTTAATTCTGTACAGCTGTAGTTTACAACACTGGCACAGGTAAGATTTGTCATAATAAATGTGAAAAGTGTATTTTCCAAAGCATGCTAAAGGGCAATTACATTTTTATTTTTTAACTGATATGAGGAAGATCATAGAGTTAGAGTTTGAGAATTAGGATTTTTTTTATGTTAAGATGGTAAAAAAGTGAATGTACACATAAGATAATGCCTCCAGTTTTTAAGGTTGGATCTCACGCCATGTGACAATATGCAGCATTATACTTCCTGATTATACTGAGCAGCAGCCAGATGTTCATATGGGCATATGTATACAAGTATAAAAACTGAAACCCTATAGTTAATTACGTGTGATGTTATATGACATAATCAACACTTTACAATAAAATACACATCATAGTATATGATTTATGCTAGTGACTTGAGAACATTTAATGTAAGCTACACAAACATTTCATGTTTACTAGGATAGTGTATTAAATGGAAACTTCCAGATTAGAACTATAATGCTTACCAAAGAGAGAACTGTATTCACTGCTCAGTACATTCAACAGAGGGAGAAGCTGTATTACAATGCATAGCAATTAACACCCTAAAACAAACACCAAGCCTATAAAAAATTCTATGATCAATGCTCTTCATGCTGAACCACAGTCAGATATGCTCTGTGCTCACACTTATTATAATTCATTACATGTCATATAACAAAAGATATAGTCCAGATGGCCTCTGGTGAGAAGGTATCCAAATCAGCATAATGTACCTTGTGTATAATGAGCAAAGGACAAATTACAACCCCCACGTAAATTTTAAAAATTTATGCATGTAGAGTACAACTTATACAATGGGAAAACACTGCATACTCAACATCAAAGAAAAGAGACTCAGCAGAGATATATGGAGTGAATCTATGTTAAGAATGGTATATTTAGAGCTATAGTGAAGGAAAAAGAAAACATTTGTTAATCTCAAGGATATATTATATACTTAAAATGTTTTAATTCACCCATGAAAGCAAAACAGTTCAAAATGTCAGGTCAAGACAAAGCTTATTAGAGATTTGATTTTAAAAAATTTACTAAAATAATTTGCTTTTTTTTTTTTCAACATAACTTAAAGAATACTTTCACTGTAATGTACTTAGTTTATTTTGTTATTTTAACAATTCTGTATCCAACTAGTGGGCTCAACTGGTCTCCCATCTCTACTTCCCTAGCAGCAGGATTACAGCAGGCATCACATTGCTCAGTTTAATGACTATCTAGAAGCACACAAATTTGAAACAAATACACATTAGATCGATATGAAAAATGGGACCCAATTTTATATATACATAAGATTTTCAGCAAATGTGATTCACTATGTGTTTTCTAAAGTATGCCACATTAATTACTTAGCATAAAATTCTTTATATTACTTTTTTTTTTTTTAAATCTGGTACCGGGAATTAAACTCATGACCTTGTGCTTGCCAGGCAGGCGCTGTGCCACTGAGCTAAATCCCCAGACCTCTTTATATTACTTTAACAGGACTCTACTGCATCAGGAATTTTCATATGACTTTAACACAATTTTTTACAACTGACCACTTTGTTTCTTTCCCAATCACAAGGTTTTGACCCAATGTGCATTCACGTATGTGCCAAGTAAAGACTTGGGCACATTTCTTCTAGACAAGGTTATTCTCCATACCATGTTACAACTATGACTCAAATAAGACAACTAAAGGCATTTCCACATGCTTTACACTAATAAATGTCCTCTCCTGTGCAGCCAAATGAATGCAAGGAAAGTCTTCTGAAAATGAAGCCGCCTTTTTTTTTTTTTTTTTGGTTTTTCTCCGGTACCGGGAAACGAACTCATGACCTTGTACTTGCCAGGCAGGCGCTTTTTGCCGCTGAGCTAAATCCCCAGCCCCGAAGCCTTCTCATTCTATATTTAAGGTTACTCTCAACTATGAGCTCTCTCTTATGTCTGTGAAACCAAAGTGACAATTGCAGACTTATGCACATGGCAAACATACAAATTGTTTCTTTCCAGTGAGTATTAACACATATTAGAGAAATGGGCAATCTACTGATTTTACAAATTGCTAGGCTTAGTCTCCACTGTGAATTTTTAAAAGTTTTTTTAAGTGACTAGGACAAGAGAAAGCTTTCCCCCACTGCTTACTTCGTACGGTTTCTTTCCACTGTGCACTTTTTTATGTCTTTGAAAACTGCTTTCCCAAAGGAAGGTTTTTCCCACATTCCTTACACTTGTATGGTTTTTCTCCACTGTGAACTTGTTTATGTTGTCGAAAACTACTTTCCCAAAGAAAGGCTTTCCCACACTGCTTGCATTCACATGGTTTCTCTCCACTGTGAACTTTTTTATGTCTTCGAAAATTATTTTCCCAACGGAAGGTTTTCCCACATTGCTTACACTCATATGGTCTCTCTTCAGTGTGAACTCTTTTATGTCTATCAAAACCACGTTCCCAAAGGAAGGATTTCCCACACTGCTTACACTCATATGGTTTCTCTTCACTGTGAACTCTTTTATGTCTATGAAAAGCACTTTCCCAAAGGAAGGATTTCCCACATTGCTTACATGCATATGGTTTTTCTTCACTATGAATTCTTTTATGTCTATGAAAATCACTTTCCCAAAGAAAGGATTTCCCACATTGTTCATACTCAGGTAATTTCTCTCCCATGTGAACTTTTTCATGTCTTTGAATGTCACATTTCCAACGGAAGGCTTTATCGCACTGTTTACACTCATATAATTTCTCTCCAGAGTGAAGCTTTGTATGTCTTTGAAGACTATTTTCCCACCGAAATGCTTTACCACATTGTTTACATTCATATAATTTCTCTCCAGAGGGAAGTTTTGTATGTCTTTGAAGATTATTTTCCCAAAGAAAGGCTTTCCCACATTGCTTACATACATATGGTTTTTCCCCAGGATGAACTTTCTTATGTTGTTGAAGGGCACTGTAAGAAAGGAAAACTTTTTCACATTTTATACACATGTAAGGCTTCTCTCCAGTGTGAATCCTTTCATGTAATCGAAAGGCACCAGAACAAACAAAAGCTTTCCCACAGTGGTTACATACATAGGGTTTCTCTCCACGGTGAACCCTTTCATGGTATTTGAGGGAACTCTGATGAGAGAAGGCTTTCCCACACTGCTTGCACACATAGGGTTTCACTCCAGTGTGAGTTCTTTCATGTCTCTGAAGGCCACTTGAACGACTGAAAGCTTTCCCACAATGCTTACACATGTAAGGTTTCTCTCCTGTGTGAATTCTTTCATGTATTTGAAGGGAACTGGAACTTCTACATATTTTCCCACAATGCTTACATACATGGCATTTCTTTCCACTATGAATTCTTTTATGCCTTTGAAGTAAAGTGGAATAAGTAAAGTCATTCCCACCTTGTTTACACTCAGAAGGTTCCTCTCCAGTTAGAATCCTTTCAAGCTTCCTGAAGTCTCGTGGACAACTGAAGGGTTTCCCACTTTTCTTATGATGAAAAGGACTCTCTCCATATTCCTGATTCTCATGAAGTTTGAACACAGTGCGATCCCTGAGGGTCACCTTGTCCGATGAAAAACTATTGCGGACCTCTTCCAAAATACAGCTTTCAGATGGTGAAACTCTAAGGGGAGTTTTCTTCCTTATAACATGCTCCGGTGTCTGGCTGAAGTTTTCACCATATTGATTGCCTTCATTATATTCACAGAGCTTGTCTATAACTTGACTTCTATAAAAAAAGAAAATAACATTAATAAAATTTTGGATATTCATGATTTACTAGAAGTGTTGGTTTTATGTTCTGTAACCATTTCTCTTACAGAAAAGCAATGAGTCACATATAAAGGAAAAATTAGAACAGATTTCTCAACACAAAATTAAAGGCAAGAAGAGCAGAGTATTTGAAGCTTTTCAAACAACCCAGACTGATACAACCTGAAAAATTAGCTTTAAAAACTGATGAAAAACTAAGATACTTCTATGAAAAAGAAAACAAATTGATAACTACCAAACCAACACTTCAAAAACTTCTCAAGGATATCCTAGGAGGCAATGAATGTAACAATGCCAAAAGGTGCAATAAAATGAATACATAAGGCAGGGATAGCAATTAAGTAGAAGGGAAAGGAAGCAAAAGAGCAACAGAAAATTAATACAATGACAGGAATAAGTCAATACCTATCAATTATAACTACCAATGTAAGTGGATTCAACTTACCAATCAAAGGCACAGCTTAGCAGAATGGATCAAGAAACAAAATCCAATGGAATGCTATATACAAGATATACATTTAACATGAAAAGAAAATCAGACCATGAATCAAAGGCTGGAAAACAATATTCCATGCAATGGAAACCTGAACACATGCAGGAAGCCAGGTACGGTGACTCATGTCTGTAATTCCAACACTTAGAGGGCTGAGGCAGGAGGACTGCCCTGAGCTCGAGGATAGCCTGGGGCTACATAGTGAGTTCAAAGCAAGCCTGAACTACACAGTGAGACCTTGTCTCAATAAAACCCCAAAATACATACATACACATACAAACAAACAAACACACAGGAATAGCTATCGTATTTTCTGATAAAGTGGATTTCAACCTAAAGCTGATTAAAAGAGGCAGTGAATCATACTGCATATTAATTAATGTAACCACTCAACAGTAAGAGATAACCTTTATAAACATATATGCAACATATATGCACAGTACACCCAAGTTAAAAAACAAACACTAACAGACATTTAAAAAATCAGATATTATCAATATAATTATGGGGGGATCTCAATACCCCACTATCACAAATGGATAAATCAAATGAATAAAAAAAAAACAACAAAAAAAATCAGAGTTGAATCAAACCTTCAAACAAATGGATTTAGTGGATATAGACAGTGTTCCCCCCACAACAACAGAATACACATTTTTAAAGCCACATACATACTTCCTCCAAAATAGACCACATACTAGCTAATTAAGCATGCTCAAGTAAATACAAAAGAATTGAAAATTTCCCATATATATTATCAGATCATACTGCATTGAAACTAGAAATCAATAGTAACAGAAACTAAGGAACATCCTCTTAGCCACGTGTGGCAGTGCACGCCTGTAATCCCAGCAGTCAGGAAGCTGAGGCAGTATGATTGCCGTGAGTTTGAGGCCAGCCTGTGCTACATAGTGAATTCAAGGCCAGCCTGAACTCTGTAATGAGACTGTCTTGAAAAACCAATAAACAAATAAAAACACACTATTGAATAATCTACAGGTCACAGAGGAAACAGACAGAAACAACAGTTCCAAGAAGTAACTGATAGTGCCAGTACAATATACCAGAACTTATGGAAAACAAGGAAAGCAATACTGTGAGGGGAGTGAACATCCACATCTGAAAAAAACAGGCTCAAATAATAACCTAATCATGCATCTTAAAGTCTTAGAAAAACAAGAACAATCCAACCACCAAGCTTGGAGAAGGAAGGAAATTATAAAGATCACAGAAGAAATGAATGAAATGGAGGCAAAAAAAGGTGAAGAATCAATGAATCAAAGACCTGATTGTTTGAAAGAAAAAAAAAAACAACAGACAAACCCTTAGACAAACTTACCCAAAAAGGGAACATGGGATACTTATTAATGCAATTAGAAATATAAAAATTAGGTTTTCTTCAAAGTAACCCACCCTATGTCCTCCAGGGTGTATTTTTATCTTGTCTTTTCCTTTCTTGGCCCAATTTGCTTTGCAGAGCCAGTTCCTCATGCTTCACTTTTCAGCTTTTTTTTTTTTAAAATTATTTTGTTCAATTCTTTTTTTTAAATGAGAAAAACCTGGTAACTAACTCCAGAAGAAGTGAGCACACCAAAACCTGGTAATGTGTATCTTCCTTTTTTCTCTCTTACTGAGCCCAAGATGGCTCTGCAGAGCCAGTTTCTCCCTCACTCTTCACTTTTAGTTTTTCAAATAAACTTTGTCACTGTTTAAACAAAAAAGAAAAATAATAAAGGTAAATTCTCAATGGATACTGCACAAATCCAGAAAATTATTAGAAAGTACTTTACAAATGTACTCAGAACAAATTGAGAGATTCCTAGATAAATATGAATCATCAAAACTGAGCCAAGACTTAAAAATCTTAATCCAATAACAAGTAATGAAGGTGAAGCAGTAATAAAAACACTAACAATTAAGAAAAGCCCAGGAAGTTGATGGATTCACAGCCAAAATCTACAAGAAATTCAGGCAAGGCGTAACATCAACAATCGTCAAACTTTTTTAATGAAATTGAGAGCGAAGGAGTACTTCCAAAATCATTCACAGAAGTTGGTGTTATTCTGATCTCAAAACAAGACAAAAATCCAACCAAAAAAAAAAAAACAAACTACCTTTCTAATGAACATAGGTGTGAAAATCCTCAACAAGATATGAGAAACAGAATGCAACAAATCTTTAAAAAGATTATACATTGTGACCAAGTAGACTTCATCCCAGGAATGTGAGAATGGTTCAACATACACACATCAATAAATGTAATTTATTACAAAAACAGAAGCAAAGACAAAAGTCGTATGATCACCTCAATAGATGCACAGAAGGCCTTTCACAAAAACCAACATCTATTAATAAAAAGCCCTCATGAAAATAGGTACAGAAGGTCTTTATCTCAATATGATAAAAGCCATTTATGACCAAACTACTGCCAATATCATAAAAAATGGAGAACTCAAAGCCTTCTTTCTAAAATCAGAAACACGACAAAGATGTCCATTATTGCCAACACTGTTCAACATAGTCTTTTAAACATCAGCCCGAGCAATCACGCAAGAGAACTAAATAAAAGAAATACATATAAGAAAGGACAAAGTTAAAGTATTATTTGCAGATGACATGATCCTTTACAACAAGACCCAAAAAATCCCACCAAAAAATTCCTAGAATTGATAACCAGATTCAGCAATGTAGTAGGACACAAATAAACATATAAATCATGTAATTTATCTTATACACTAATAATGAACATACTGAAAGAGCCATCAGAAAAACAATACCACTCACAATAGTATCAAGAAAATTAAATATATATGGATTAACCTAACTAAGGAAGTGAAAGAGCTCTACAATGAAAATTACATCATTCTGAAAAACAAAATCATGGCAGAATCAAAATATGGAAAGATATTCCCTCTTTCTCAACAGGCAGAACCAACATTATCAAAGTGGCTATACTTAAAAACTGATATACAAATTTAATATAATCTCAATCAAAATACCAACATCATTTCTCACAGAGCTAGAGAAAACAATCCTAAAATTTATATGCAATCAGAACAGACTTAGAATAACAAAAGCAATCCTGGGTAACAAAAGCAAAGCAGGAAGCAGCACAATCCCAGACTTGAAATTATACTACAAAGGTATAGTGATTAAAATAGCATGGTCCTGGCAGAAAATTGAGCACATGGACCAATGGAACAGAAAAAAAGAAGTAGAAACAACCCCAGGCATATACAGCTATTTGATCTTTGACAAAGGAGCCTACAACATACACCAGAGGAAAGATACTCTCTATAATAAGTGGTGCTAGGAAAATTGGATATCCATATGCAGAAGACTGAATCTAGATCCAGGTGTCTCATCATGTACAAAACTAAAAAATGGATCAAAGATCTAAACGTTAAAACAGAAAACAATCTTCTGGAAGACAAAATAGGTACAAGTCTTAAAAGATGTAAGTGTAGTCTCAGTGGAATCCCAATGATATATGTATTCCATAATACAATACTGAGATTCAACAAATGGGACTTGTATCAAATTAAAAAGCTTCTTATGGTACAGGGAACAACCAACAGTGTGAAGAAACAAAACAATCTACAGAACAGGGAAGAAATTTTGCCAGCTATCCTGGGATAGAGAACTAACATCTAGAATATATAAAGAACTTTCGAAAATTAGAACCCCCCCCAAACAAAAGATCCAAACAAAAAATGGGCAACTGAAAGGGACAGATACTTCTAAGAAGTAGAAATGGACAGTAAGTTAAAAAAAATGTTCATCATCCCTGCTATCAGAGAAATGCCAATTAAAACCACACTGTGATTCCATCTAAAGAATGGCTATCATCAATAAATCTAATAATAAGAAACACTGGTGAGGATAAGGGGAAAAAGAATTGTTCTATACTCAGATAAATATTTGTTTATCTGAGTAACCAACTTGTAATACAACAACCACTGTTAATTTCCTATCACCTTGTCTGAAATTCTGTATTGCTTGTACTGTTTTTGTGTCTATTTTGTGTCTGTTAATGTGTTTTCACTCTTTTATTTTCAAAATGAAAAAAAAAAAAAAGAATTGTTCTAATCTGTTAGTGGGAATGTAAACTAGTACAATCACTATAGAAATCAGTGTGGGAAGTCCACAAACAAATGTAAGTAGAAATTCCATTTGATCTAGCCATTCCCTTTGTAGGTATCTCCTCAAAAATAGTTAAAATAAGGAAAATGGGGTATTTATATACAATAGAATACTACTCTACCATAAAGAAAGATAAATGTGAGGCATGTATAAGTAAATGGATACAACATGAGAATATAGTGCTAAGTGAAATAAGTCACAGAAACAAGTTCAAATATCACATGGTTTTTCTTATGCACAATACATCCTTCAATATACATATAGAATATATATATATATACATATATATATACATACATATATATATATATATATATATATATGGACTGAAGATATAGCTCAGTGGTATAGCACCTGCCTGGCAAGCACAAGGTCCTGAGTTCGATTCCCAGCACCAAAAAAAAAAAAAAGAATATATGTATATATGTAAATGAAGACAAAAATATGAGATAAGTAATAAGAAGGGGGAAGTTGAAACAATTCTCCAAATTACACAGTCCACTGTTTCAAAAATATTTCCTCATGTGTAGTTATTTCTTGATCCTAATCTTAGTTAAGAGTAAATGAATTAATAAACTCATTTAAATAACTGTGAACCTTGTTTTAGCATTGTTGAAATTTTTACTAATATAATTTTTATAGAAAAAAATTACCTTAGATTTTTCCTGGGCTTTTTGCACTCGTCTTCAATGTTTGGGTCTTCACGTTTCTTCTAAAATGTGGAGCCAGAAAAATCATTAGGAATAATTAATTTATAGAAAAATTATTAGATTTGAGCTAGATTCACTGTATTATATGAGTATACCTGGAATATTCCTCTAAATATTCCAGTTCAATTTTCCACGTAAGGAAATGGCACTGATGAACAAGACACACTTGTTCTCTGATTCACTAAGAAATGAGGTTTTCTTTACCTATGGCAACTAGGTTCCTCAGGGTTTCCTGCATTACATCTCTGTAGAGCTTCTTTTGGGAAAGACCCAACAGAGCCCATTCCTCCAGGGTGAAGTTCACGGCCACATCCTTAAAGGTCACTGACTCCTAAAACAATCACACATACATTTTGATAAGAGAGTGACATTCATTCTAATGAGGATGTATATTCACTTCATTAAAACTTCACATCATTCTTCTCTCCACATGTTCATTGGACAATTTGGACATCATGTTCTTATTCTCTATCTATACTCATACCCTCTCATACAGCAATTCTGATACTAGATTTGAACTATGTGGGTCATACCAATTTCTCTTTGTACGAGGGATCTGTATCACCCTCAATAACAAATTCCTACTACTGAGTGCTCAGAAGAGAATACCAACTGTCCTGAAACAACATATTCTCAAAATGTCCCAGAACAAAGTTCAACTTTCCTGGTACCTTGAGCTGGTATTGGGATGGACTACACTAACTGTACAGAATAGTTTATTTGTTTAATACCTCTCATCTAAGGTAAGGAACATACCTTATCACCCCTCCAATATACTCTGGTGAATCTCTAATGAGTAGATTTGACAGATGTTATTTAAAATCTCCTCACAATTTGTACCTCAGGGAATTGAACATATCCTCTTTGATTACACTGGGAGACAACTTCTGCAAGCTTCTGATTGGTGTCTCTTAAGCTAATCTATAATTAAACAACAAATAAAAGTCATGGAGAATAATTCACTAATAGATAAGCACTACACTGTCCACTGCACTGGCAATGGGCAATGAAACAGAGAAGGATAGTACCCGTACTTAGAAAGAGCTCGAATTGCCAAGATGTCTCCTCTCATGCAAACTGATAAACTTGTATAGTTTCTAAAATACACCTTTAAGTAGTCAAGAAAAACTACTACATCTAGAGCATAATGTTTTCCAACACTTAAGATATTAAGAATAAAAAAAGTATGTTCCTTAATATCCATAAAACCTACAAAATACACATTCAGCAAAATATATTATTGACACAGATTTAAAAAAAATCCAAGGAAAGTATATCATTTACCTATAGGCCTACACATATACAAAAAACTGCTTGAAGATGGGAGTTATTCTATAATATTGACAACTAGGTACATACTTGAAAATCTACTTTCTATGCTATTATTTCCATGTATTCAACAAACAACAATTAAGTTATGACTTCAGAGGAAAAAAAGAGGCTTGAATTCTTCTTTGCCAGGATGATGAGTTGGTCAAGGAGTTGGTTCTTCAAAAGAATAAATAAAATTGATACCCCCTTAGCCAACTTAATCAAAAAAAGAAAGGAAAGAACTCAAATTCCTGCAATAAGGAATGAAAAGGATGGAATTACTACAGATCCTACAATAGCATTCCTATACACAAACAACAGACTGAGAGAGAAATTAAGAAGACCATTAATACCTACTTTGAAAATATTTACTCTTGTAAGATAGAAAACTCAGAAGAAATGGACAGATTCCTAGATATGTACAAATTACCAAGG